CTTGAGAAATGCTTAGCATAGTGTCCCCTTTTGGTTTTCTAATTCCAGGTGTTTGCACATTTCATTATAATACTTGACTTTGTCTTCTTGAATGACTCTTTGTCATTTTTTACTGAACTCTTTTCGTTCCTCATTTCTTCCATTAACTTTAGCATTTCTATACTGGAGAGCTAGTTTCAGAGTCTCTTCTGACATTCATTTTGTTTTTTTTCTTTCTTTCCTGTCTTTTTAATGACCTTTGGCTTTTTTCATGTATGATGTTCTTGATGTCATCCCACAATTCTTCTCGTCTTCAGTCATCAGTGTCTAATGCATCAAATCTGTTCTTAAGATGATCTCTAAATCTCTTCACACAATTGTAGTCAGTTTGACTTCTGTGTGTTCCATCTGGTGAGTTCCATGTGTATAATCATCTTTTATGTTGTTTTAAAAAGACATTTGTCATGAATAAGTCAGTGGACTTGCAAAATTCTATTATGCAATCTTCAGCATCATTTCTATCACCAAGGTTATACTTTCCAACGACTGATCCTTCCTTTCTGTTTCCAACCTTCACATTCCAATCATAAGTAATTATCAATATATACTGATTACATGGTTGATCAATTTCAGACTGAAGAAATTGGTAGCATTCTTAAATTTCATCATCACTGGCTTTAGTGGTTGGTGCATAAATTTGAATAAATAGTGGTATGAGCTAGTATATTATCCTTACACAGATAGATCTTGAAATGTTCTTTTTGATGAGGAATGTGACACCATTCCTCTTCAATAATTTGTCATTCTCAGCACAGTTCACATATGATTGTCAGATTCAAAGTGGTCAATACCAGTTCATGCATTCATTCTGTTTCAAGCTGTTTTTGACAGCTTCCAATTTTGCTAGATTCATACTTTGTATATTTCATGTTCCAGTTATCAATGGGTGTTTGTAGCTGTTCTCCTTGAGGTGTGCCCCATCAGTAAATGTGGATCCCAAAACTTTTACACCATTCACAATTCATGGTCATCTCTACTTTAAGGAGGCAGCTCTTTTCCATTCATATTTGAGTGCCTTCCAACCTAAGGGACTCATCTTCTAGCATGATATCTGACAATGTTTCACTGCTATTCATAAGATTTTCAGTTCCTAACCATTCAGAAGTGGTCTGCCTCTCCTTCTTCCTATTCTGTCTTAGTCTGGAAGCTCTACTGAAACTTGTCCACAATAGGTGAACCTGCTGGTATTTAAAACACCAGTTGCATAGCTTTCAATATCGTAGCAACACACAATCCACTACAGTATGACAAACTGACAGATGAGTGGTGGGAGTCATCTTAGAAGTCCTTAAAAATACTGATGTCTAGCTTGCACCCTAGGACAGCTGAATCAGAATCTCTGGGGATTAGGGTTAGGCATTTGTAGCCTTTCTTGGTGTTGTTATTCCCACATGTACCACTGTGAAATGTCCTGTTAGTTTGTCTCTGTTCTAACTGAGAGTACAGTGAGCAGTAGCCAAGGTTTGGGGTCATGGTTGGAGCCTGGGCCTCAGCACAATGCCTGGAGAGTTGAAGATGCTCAGTTCATGCTTGAGCGCCTGGACTGATATAGTTGACAAGGCTGCGGGACCATTTAAGATCAGTAAGAGTGACTAGCCAATGTTATGCCCTGGTTTCTGAACTGTAGCCCTTGCCAAGCAGCCCGTGTTTCTCAGCCTTTCTGGTCTTTGTGATAAATGAGCATTCTGAAGTCAGTGACCTGAGTTTTGGGTTCATTTCTTAATGAAAACTTTTGCCCTGTCACATCCAGAAGGTAAATTTGCTTGTAATTGTGGCCAAGGTCCTTCAAGAAGAGAAGTATAGTTCTCCATATTTCATAACACCCAGAAGATGGTCAGTCTTGGGTGTCTGTGATCCTGGACCCTTCTCTTACAGCCAGGGCACATGCTCAGACATTGTCCATTCTGCCCCACCTGAGAGCGCAGGTCACTGGCCTGTCTGACAGGGAACCTCCAGTGGTTCTGCAAACAAAGATCCTGGTCTCCTAGTTGTGCTGGCTTTTAGCTGCCAGAATAAGGGATCTTTATTGGCTATTCTTTTGTTTAGTTCTAAAAACAAATCTGCATGTTGGGTTCTCTTGAAACTTTGGACAGAAATGTCTGACTGAGTGGTTTTTTATTCGTCCTACAGTGTGGGGAGCTAAGAGACCTTTTCTGGGTCCCTGGATTCTCAGTGATGGTGGCATCCACAGGCCTCACCTGGCCCTCTCACCCACTCTGGAGACCCAGCCTGATGAGCTGGGACAATTGTTTCAAGGAAAGTCACACTGTGTGTGGCTCAAGCAATGCAACAGGTGCAGGGGAGAGAAGAAAAAGTCATCATTGGAAAGGGATTAAGTGTTAACCCTGCTGAGAACTCTGGGGTCTGGTTTGATTTTGCTTTTAAAAGTCTTCAAGATACTTTTAAAGACAAGCTGAGAGGGAGCAACCACACAAAACGTAAAACACAAATTCATTAACCAAGTTCACAGAACAATTTAAAAAATTAAAGTGTAGACAAAATTTCTTTAAAAACAATGAAAGCAACAGCAAACAGCACAATCAAGTAGTAGTATTTTTTCTGAATTCAGTGTTTCTTTAAGTGTGACTTACATGACCTCTGTAACAATTACCTAAGGAAATAGGGCAGATTTGGGGTGGGCCCAGACCTCCTGAAGCAGACTCTCAGAGGGTTGGTATCTGGAACTTGCATCTTTTACCAGCAACCCTGTTGATTTTCTTGCTCTCTGAGGTAAGAGAACTGCTATTCTATATTTCCTTTATATCATTCTTTCTCATCTTATCCTTCTAGGAAAGAGTGTGATATGATCAGGCCCCAAGCAGTCTGTCTGGGACACACTGCTGGAACAGAGGGTGAACTAGATCAAGGCTTTCTAATCTTTTGAGGCTATGAGACTTTTCTCAGTTACTTTTTCCATCAAGAAACAGCAACCTTTGGGTTGAGACCAGACTCAGGACAAGAAGTGTGAAGCTCTCATTTATTGAAATCTCATAAATGTTTTGCATGTATCTTTTCTTGTTGTTGTTGTTGTTGGGTGCCATCAAGTCGGTACTGACTCATAGCAACACTATCCACAATAGAATGAAACACTGCCTGGTCCTGGGTCAACCTCACTACTGTTGCCATGCTTGAGCCAATTGATGCTGCCACTTTGTCAATCCATCTCACTGGGGGTCTTCCTCTTTTCTCTGTCCCTCCACCTTACCAAGCATGATATCCTTCTCCAGTGACTGGTCCCTCCTGACATCTTTTCTTACCACTCATTAAAGCAAAGTATAATATTTGGTTTAAATATTTAAGTAAATGTGGCTCGGGAAGGTTAAGCATTTGGTCCATTATCATCTAACTAGGAGTTAAACCTAGGCTTCCTTCTTCCTCTGCCACACTATGGTGGAAAGGACTTTTCCCAGCTTTGGAATGGGTAGGAACTTTCTACAATACCCAGTGTCAAATCTTAGGGTGGCTCCTGAGTCCCTGGGTCACTGCTCTAGAAACACTATCGGTCAGGATTCCTTGGGTCTTCAGAACCTGGAGTTTCTTCATATGTTGTCCTGAAAGCCAGGCTTATACCCTGCCCGGTTGTCAATGTATGGACACCTGATGGCATGGCAAGAAGCCCTCTACCTTGAGGAGTGACCTATCAAGAGCGAGCAGCTAAACATTTCCCTTACCACTCGGAAGACCTTGAAGAAGTCCACGTTAGCATACAGGGCATCTTCCATCCACTGCAGGGTTCCCTGGGACAGGGAGCACAGGCAGTCACGTACCGTCTGTGTCCCACGTCGCTGGCTGAAAGTGATGAAGCACTCCAGAAGGGCCTTGCTGCAGGCAACCTCCTTCAGCAGCAGGTCTGTGACCCCATGAGCAAACTGCAGGGAGGAAAGACCATATTGGAAACCTCCTTGTGGCAAGTCAGATACCAATCCACCCAAAGATGTCCACATTCCAGGCTATAGAGCCTGTGAGGAAATATTATGTTACATGGCAAAGGAGATTTGAGAGTTCAGATATAATTAAGGTTGCTAGTCAGTTGACTTTAACATAAAGAGAGCAATTTGGATTCTCTGGGAATGTCCAATGTAATCACAAAGGTCCTTAACTGTGGAAGAAGGTGCCACAGTAACATGATGTGAGAATGACTTGACTGTTCATTGCTGACCTTGAAGATGTCCTCCAAGAAACGCAGACAGACTCTAGAAGGTAGAAAAGGCAAGAAAATGGATTCTTCCTAGAGTCTCCAGAAAGGAACAGAGCCCTGCTAACACCTTGACTTTTGGACTTTCAACCTCCGGAACTAGGACCAAACCAAACTCATTGCTGATGTGTGAATATCTGTTCATAAGAACTCTATAGGACAGAGTAGAATTGCCCTACAGGGTTTCCAAGACTGTAATCTTTCTGGAAGTAAACTGCCACTTTCGCTTGCAGAGCACCTGATGAGTTTTTGATCAGCAGATGAGTACTTAGCTACTGAGCCACCAAGTTTCCTTTCTAAAACTGTTATTATTAGGTGCCAGCAAGTCTGTTCTGACTCATAGTGACCCTATGTACAAAAGAATGAAACACTGCCCAGTCCGGCGACATCCTCACAGTTGTTGTTATGGTTGAGCCCACTGCTGCTGCCACTGGGCCAATCCATTGTGTTGGGGATCTTCTTTTTTTCACCGACTCTCCACTTTACCAAACATGATGTTCTCTCCAGAGACTGATCCCTCCTGAAAACATGCCCAAAGTACAAAGATGAGTCTCATCATCCTGGCTTCTAAGGAGCATTCTGCATGTACTTCTTCCAAGACAGATGTTTGTTCTTCTGGAAGTCCATGGTATTTTCAATACTCTTTGTCAACACCATAATTCAAATGCATTGATTCAAGTACTTCTATGGTCTTCCTTACTCACTGTTGAACTTTCACAGGCATATAACACAATTGAAAGCACTACAGCTTGAGTCAGGGTCACCTTAGTCCTCAAACTGACATCTTTGTTCTTGAACACTTTAAAGAGGTCTTTTCCAACTGATTAGCCTAATGCAATATGTCATATGATTTTTTGACTGCTGCTTCCAGAGATATATGATAATAAATCTGAGTTGTTTTAAATCACTAAACTTGTGTAATTTGTTATAAGAGCAATAGGAAGCTAACACACTCCCTAAGCCTCATTTTACCAGAGAACCATTTAAAATTTGTGATATCCCCTTCTCATTATGATGATGATAAAATACCAATAGGACCTACTCTCAGAATTCAAGAACAAGGGGTCTGGGGCATTGGTGGTGGGAGTGGGGAGGGAAGTTAGCAGAATACATTTGGAGTGCTGGTAAATGACCAACCTCCCTGGTCCTTTCTCACCCTCTATGGACTTGCAAAGGAGCTCTGGTAGCGTAGTGGTTACGAATTGGGCTGCTAACCTAAAGGTCGGCAGTTCGAGACTACCAGCTGTTCCGCAGGAGAAAGATGAGGCTTTCTGCTCCCATAAAGATTGGCAGCCTCAGAAACCCTGTGCAGGGTCACTATGAGTCAGAACCGACTCCACAGTACTTAACAACAACAACAGTATGGACTTTCCAGACTTAGCAAATAAAAATACCAGATCCCAAATCAAATTAGACTTTCAAATAAATAATGACTTGTTTAGTACAAGTATATCCCAAATGATGTTCAAATGAGACATACTTATACTAACAAATTATTTATTTATCTGAAATTAAAATGTAACTGGCTATACCACATTTCATCTGGTAATCCTACCCGGTTACCACACCCTACAGTGGAGCTCATCATTGACAGTTTGACTCATGAAGCACAGTCCCCATGATGTCTTCAGAAGTAAAGGTGGTAAGTGGGGAGCAACAACATTGACCAAGGGCCCTTGGCCACTCAACCCAACAAGTAGCCTTCTGGAGTCCTGGACTCACAGCAGTGGACTCCATCCTGAGTACCATGAACAAGCTCATGAGCTGTGCTGGGGACCATAGCTTCCCCTGACTTCCAACAACTTTGCTTTCTAGAAGAGCAGAACTGGCCCAGGTTTTGCACCCATTCTGTATGGAAGCCTGGTCCCTAAATGATGGGCCAACGAGCTGTACCAGTCTCATTATCTAATAATTCCCTAGAGTGGGTCAGGGGATGATACACTGCCCTTCAAAGCTGTGATCAAACACCAGGCAGAAGGAGAAGGAGGGCTATCCCATCCTGGAGAAAAGAAAGAATTCTAAGTTTGATGAGGATGATCCATTAGAGACTCACAAGCCACTCATGACTATATACATTAACTAACATTACATTAAATTTAAGTTCACTTACTTAGTTCCATTTCAAGTGCCCATCATGTGGTTGGTGGCTACCATTTAGGCCAGTGCAGAGAGAGAGAAACCATTGCAGAAAGTTCCAGTACAAGGACATCACAGAGCAGATGGAGACAGAGAAGGAGATCAGGAGCTTGAGACAAAGAGGTGTTGTTGTTGTTGCTGTTGTCAGGTGACATCGAGTTGGAACCAACTCATAGTGACCCCATGCACAGCAGAATGAAACACTGTCCGATCCTGGGCCAACCCCACTACCGCTGGCACACTTGATGCCATCAATGATGCCACCTGACTGATCCATCTTGTTGGGGGTCTTCCTCTTTTTCTCTGACCCTCCATCTTGCCCAGCATGACATCCTTCTCCAGTGACTGTTCCCTCCTGACAATATGCCCAATATATGAAAGACGGAGCTTAGCCATCTTGGCCTCCAAGGAGCACTCTGGCTGCACTTCTTCCAAAACAGATCTATTGGTTCTTTTGGCAGTCCATGGCACGTTCAGTATTCTCCTCCAACACCACAACTCAAAGGCATCAATTCTTCTATGGTCTTCCTTATTCACTGTCCAGCTTTCGCATCCATATGAGGTTATTGAAAATACCTGTCTGTTGTGGTGTGGTGGCTTGAGTTGCTGTGATTCTGAGGGCTATGCCACCAGTATTTTAAATAACCGGCAGGGCCACCCATGGTGGACAGGTTTCAGATGTGCTTCCAGACAAAGACAGACTAGGAAGAAAGAGTGACAAACCACTTCCGAATCGTTAGTCACTGAAAACTCTATGAATAGAAGAGACAAAGAGTAGGATCTAGCAAAGAGGTGGGTTTTCAAGCAACAGGCTAAGAAGCCGGGTGAAATGGGAGGCACAGGGGGAGCAGGAGGCTCTGCAAAGCATCTCTTAAGCTCAGGAGTTTGCTATCAGGCAGCATCAGCTCATTGGAGCCAACAACATTAAACAAAGGCACATCCTGGGGACCCTAGCTCTGATTCTCTCCACATGAAACTTCAGCTCTGATGTCAGCACTGCAGCAGAAACTGACGATTCAAATGTCACCTCAGAGAGACCTGGAGAGAAATTTCTCCAAGATTCCTGTCCTATCTCCATCTCCATTTTATGGCCAACTGGAAGTCATCACAGACATTTCCAGGATGTGAGTTTTATGAGCTTAAGAGAAAGCAAAGGGAAAATGAGCAATTGATACATGACACAACCTCCCTTAGATGAGAGGGGGTGGGGTGATGGGGAAGGAGGGAGCCACACAGGGTCTGGCAGCCCAGGCTGGCCTCACCAGAAGCTGAACTGCTGCCAAGGCCTTGGCACAACAGCACCAACTTCCCAGGGTCCTGGCTGTCTCCTCAGGGCTGGCTCTCAGTTCTCCTGTCTAGTTTCAGTGAAAACCTCAGGGTCTGAGAAGCCAGAAAAGCAGGTATTGACTTCTTCTTGACAGTGTAGGGACCATCTTGAAAAACACCTTCTGTGGAGCCAATCCTGGACAAGAGGGTGGGGTCCCCACCCTCCTCTGGGCTCAGACAGCACCTCCCATAGACCTTTATCTCAGAAGTGATATAAGCACTGAAACTCCCTGATTATGTCTCTGTCTCCCCTGGAGTCTGGAGGAGGTGCAAACTCAGCTTGGAACAGAGGGTGTCTGGGCTGTTGTCCCCTGGTTCCCTTGCAGTCTCACTATGTTCATCACACTAAGAACCCACACCAGAATGCTGGGCCAGGACCAGTGGGGGCGTCAACTGGAGCAGTGGTTCTCACACTTGAGTGCCTGTCGAATCCCCTGGAGTGTTGTGAAAATACAGATAGCTTGTTTTAGTCCCCAGAGTTTCTCATTCAGTTGATGTAGGCTGCAGCCTCATTTAGAACTGGCATTTCTAACAAGTTCTCAGGTGATGCCGATGTTGATCTCTGGACTCTGAGAACCATCACACACTAGAGTAAGAAACACTGGATTTGGAGGAAGAAACATTGAATTAGAATCGGCACTGCCAATTTCTAGCTCTATTGTTTCGAGTTGCCATTGAACCACCTCCAACTCATGGTGACCCCATGTACAATAGAATGAAGTGTTGCCCCATCTCATGTCACCTTCATAGTTGTTGGCATGCTCGAGTGGACATCACTGTGGACACTACACATTGTGAGTGCCCTTCAACCTAGGGAGCTCGTCTTGGATAAATCTGTTGTAATCCATGGGTTTTTCATTGGCTAATTTTTGCAATTAGATCGCCTGTCTAGTATGGTAGCTCCACTAAAACCTGTCTAACATGACTGATTCTGCTGCTAGTTGAAATATTAATGGCATAGAGTCTATCATCATAACTAACCAAACTACCACAGTATGACAAACTGACAGACAGGTGGTGGTCTAGCTCTATACCAGGGGTGGTGGTGGTGGTGGTGGTGGTGGTGGTGGTGGTGATGTGCCGTAGAGTTGTTTCTGACTCATAGCAACACTGCACAGGGTTTCCGAGGCTGTAAATCTTTACGGGATCAGAAAGCCTCATCTTTCTCCCACATAACCACTGGTAGTTTTGAACTGCTGACCTTGAGATTAG